CCAGAATATCTTAGAATTCTCAGGATAAAATCTTACTGGCCCATACCCTAGCTTAAATATATATATATATATATATATATAAGAGTTGATTACATCTTAAGATGAATTATTAGTTATTAATTATTAATTATTTTAAAAAAAGTTAGTTAAAACCCACACTATAATTGTTTTAAAAATATATCTGAATCGCACCCACAACTTTGACTGCGTTAATACGGATGTACTTAACTCTTGGTTTTAATCAAAATTCAAGCTGCAATAACAACCTCATATTCCCTCCCCCCCCTCCAATTTTTTCATGTTCAAATATATATATATATATATATACCTAAATCATTCCCGCTAAAACCAAATTATTCCTCGCAAAATAATAACAACAACAATAATAATAATAATAATAAGATTTGACAAAAATAATGATTAAGAAGTTAGTATAAATTAATTGTTAGCAATTGAGATTCCCATATCGATGAACATTTCACTCTTTCAAATGAAGCGCGCGGCTATTAGGTCACTTTTTAGTGGAACCCTGAGAATTAAAATCTTGTCTTTTGCTTCCATCAATATATATATATATACATATATTTGAGAAAAACCTTGTAATCTAATAGCTATTAACTTTTTGTAAAAATCTTTTCATGTTAACTTAAAGTGTAGGGTTCGAATCTCACTTAAAATATAAAAAGAAAAAAAAAATTGTGTTTTGCATTTAAATTATGACATAGGACAGTAATTAATACACATTTCAGTTCAATACTATACAACATGCTCTTTAAAAATTTATTATTTTTAATTTAAAATTTAAAGCAAATAAATTTAAAAATACAATTATATACACAAAATGTAAAAACTGACTAAATCAATTATATTTATATTGTATTTTTAATAATTTAATAAAAAAATATGTCAAAAAAATGTTAAACCAAAAATATACAGATCATTTTCCCACGACATATGTCTTGTCCTTTTTGTGCCTTAAGTAGTTCATGAATATGTATCAATTGCTTCATTCAAGAATACCCAAAAATAAAGTCTCTCAAAGGTGACGGGTGGACCATCTTATGGCCACATACATAATTACTATGGCCATGTAGAATATTGTAAATGAGTTTAGTTTGTCTAATTTTTATCACTCTATAACTACTAAAATGTTTAAAACTATTATTTAATAGATTAATTTTAAACTGTTAATGTTCACACTCATTTTAGCAAATTAATTAGAAAAAGTTACGTGTCTCATTTATTCTAAATCTAAAAGAGTCAAAATGTGCTACCAGTAATTATCATGTAATGATCTCATTAACCAAGTCAAGTTCAATGACAAATTTTGCTCTAGAATCAACGTGAATGTTTGTTGCACATCATTGATAAAGCAGTTTAGTGGTTGCATACTTCTAGGAGCATGATTAGCATTACCAACGAGTTAGTTGATTTGTTGAAGATTTCTTATGGTCATTGGTTTTCAAGATGTCGCTAACAGAACTCCATTATGTTATCAAGGTGTTATAAATACTTAATGATGAGGTTAAGCAAGAAGACCAGTCTCCTACATAATTAGTTCAGCACTATCTGCGTTTCATTTTTCACAAACAATATCTTAATTTAAATCTAACTTTCTCAATCGATTTTCTTAATTTAGTCTTTACCTTTACACGGTCATTAACTTTAACTTCAGTTTTTGTTATTTTGTTTTAAACATCATTATTGATGTATTTGATTTCCTATAATTTAATTTACCATGCTTTACTCTAAATTTATCTTTCGAACTTC